GACCGCGTGTATTTCATTTGTTTACAATTTGTAATGTAAATAACTTTATACATAATTAAATTTTTTGCGATAGAAAATTATCACTTATTTAAAAATGAAGTATTTACAAAATATTTTCACTGTTATTATTTAGTTAATTGTCTTTAGTAGTTGGATTTGGAAGATTTCTAATAAACTATCATCTTACTATTTTTAAGACTAAAATTAAGTACCCTTATTTTGTGAATATTACCTATTACATTTTATCTCAAATATAATGAAATAAATAAGTTTGCAGATTTATTATTTTTTTAAAAATTTTTCTTACAAATAAATCGCCCTTTTTATCTATATCAGTGTTAATAATCATTCTTTTATATGTTTTGTAAGTTTGGCTTACGATTGACCCAGTTTCCGCTGTTCAGAAATGAAATAATAAATCCCCTTATTATTTTCTATGAATGCCATCACTTACTATTCAAAATCGTAGTTCTACATAATTTTCCATTTTATTACATCGCATCGGGAAATATTATTTTTCCCAAGAATGTTTTCAAGACTATCAAATGATCGAAATGATGGTCACGTTTCAAACATCCTTTACGATCCCCCTTTATTTTCTTCGCTCGTTAACTCGTCGTATGATTCCTTCCCATAGCGTTACAACTTTCGAAAGATTACTCTTGATCGTCAGTTTTCTCGTTATCTCGGATTTCACAGACTGAAACAACGAAGGTTGTAACTTTGGAAAATGGAAACGCGGCAAACGGTGGAAAAGGGAACACACGGGGATTCGAAATTCGCTTTGGGCGTAATGGAAAAGTAAACGTAGAAGGGTGCACTTGTAAACGTACGTCACGTTTTCCATTAAACTGTCCCCCATAAATTTGCTTGAAAATTTTATCAGCGAATTTTTCTGCACGCGAAAAACTCTTGGTCCGATTTAACCGTCGCCCCGGATGTCACTGGCATAGTTTTTCCCAGAGGCGACTGCCTCCGCCTCTGAAGCGTTGGGTAAATAAGACGGACATCAGTTACTCGATTCGCAAAGGAGTCTGTTAATCACCCACTCGAGAGCATTCTGCAACGTGGAACACGGAATAATTTAACGAGCTGAAAGATTTACAGCCAACTGTGAACACACGTTTCAAAGAACCACCCAAAGGATGCTGGATCATTTCCGGAAATATAGGCTACCCGCTGTTGTTTTTCCTAGTTTCTTTTTTCGAATATGTACGTCGCTACACAACTAATTAGGGAGGTCTTGAGGTAATTAGAGAAATCGAGCCGGTAATTAAGCATTGACAAAATTTATAACACAGCTGGTGATTAATTTAGATCAGTGATTTTTGATCTTTTCATAAATACGTAACGCTGAAACCAAAATTCAAGAATTCAAGTACTATCAAGAAAAGTGTGTTCTATACTTAAAAATTTAAGAGAAATTATATAATTAATTATATTGTTGCCGTATATTTCTTTTTTTGTTTCTAATAGAATAATTGTAGAATGAATTCGTTAAGATTCGTAATGATATATTTAAAATTATTTCTCTGATTAACTTCAAATTTTTTTAACTAATTTTAATAATTTTATTAATTTATGGAAACAATATATTTTGCAAGATGCAATTTAAATTGTTATTTGAAAAATAATTACCATCTGGATTTAGAAGATTATATATCTCTCTCTCAAAAAAAAAAGAAAAGTAGAAACGGAAAGATTAGTTTCCATAGTTTCTTTCCCGAGAAACGTTCAGCTGGTTAACTTTTGTATCTAAAATAAATGGTTCTTCCACTCGTAAAACATATCTCTTTTTCCTGAATAACATTCCACCACGGATTTTCGATTATTTGTTTTCATTTGTTTCCTGGGTTTCATCGCTGAATAGGTTTCCCATTGTGTACAGTTTTCAACATAGAACAAAGAGAATTTCGCGAGATTGGTTCGATACTGATAACGAGGCTATCTCTTACTTGTTTTACGTCACTGAATTTCGGTGTAAATTTTAGGGAAAAAGGCATCGATATTTTCCAATCTTGCACCTGAAATATCAATAATAAATGTCTGTCGGACATATGTAGAATGTTAGCTCAAATTTTTTACCGATTTCATATTTTAAACGTTATAATAAGTAGCTCAATTATTTATTTAATTGCACTTAAAGAAAATTGAATAATAATACAATATCATACACCCAGACGAATTAGACTTCTAATTTTATTTAATCTTTTAAATATTTTGAAAATAATACCTACAATTTTTTATTTTACATAAATTCATCTCACAACAATGGAATTAAATAAAAATATAAGAAAAGCTAACTTTTCAATTTTCTAATATTTCAACTGTTTATCGTTTCAATTAACCAAATAATTCCCTATTTCTCCTAAACACACCCGCAGAACTCCTTTAATATTCCGTACTTTGAACACGTATTTATTATGCATCAAAAGAAAATGAGAAATTTGCAAGAGCTTCGGAAAAGAAATTCTAAGAGGTAGGAGAACTTTCCCAACACGCGAACGAACTTGAAGGAACTTCATCGCGTTAACTTTGAAACTCATCGCGATCCATCCGGAAGCTCGTGTTCTCCAACAAAAGCAGTCCGGTTCTCGAATAAAGAAGGAAGCTTAATTGTCCAAAGCGTAGCTCAGAAATCGAAAGGATCGTGGTTGAATCAACGGCGGAAAAAAAAGGAAAATAAAAGAAATGGTTAGATTCGAACAGGAAGTCCTGGAAGAAGTTTCCGCGAGCAAGCTGCTCGAGCACCTGACGATTCTTTTCTAGTTTTTTCTTCCTTTTTTTTCCTTTTTTTTTTAAATCACCAACGCGATTGTTGACCGATCCGTCGAACCGTATAAAGATAAGAAGACGCTTCGCTGCTGGAGTTCGCGTTGCGGATGTTCGAATCGATTCTACTTGCTTTTCTTGTTCGCTCTGACTGTTACGTCATAAATTATGAGCTTCCAGTTATCAGAATTTCTGTCTCATATCGGGTGAAAATTCAGAACTGAGGAAAATTTAATTATCGAGAAATAGTACTTGAAATATTTAAGTTTCCAACATTTCAACATTTCAGATTTCACGTATTTCAAAATTCTGTGATTCTACATCTGTACAATTTTAAGATTTAGATTTTCTAAATTCAAGGGTTCAAAATTTCACAGTATCAGATTTGCTACATCTCAAAATTACAAAATTACAACTCTTCAAAATTTTAGAATTACAAAAATTCTTAATTTTTAAAATATAAAAATTCCTGAATTTCTAGATTTCAGAATTGCAAAAGCCCAGATCCTAAAAATTGCAAAATTCCAAGATTCTAAAATTTCAAAATTTCTAAAGAATCTGGTACACTCCGAGCTGTATTTCTAATATACAATAAAGATTGAATAAATATTAATTAAAAATTCAAATTCAATTTTCTACAAAAATTTCTTATATACCACTTAATGTTCCACTATTTTTTAATAACTATAAATTCTCCTATCCAGCCGTCTTCTTCATCTCAGATCCATTATCCACATTGATAACAATTACTTTGAGTGGTTTTTTCTGCTCCCAGAAGCTGTTTGATCGATTTCTCTGGAGACCTATTGTCAGCAATTATATTCACCAGCTTTTATAAACAACAATAGAAGTTTTCAAGTTTATCCAGCTTGCTCTGTTACATTCAATAAGAGATCGTAGACTGGTCAATTACTCGTAGTTTCTGACTGAAAAGTTCTCCTTTGTAATTCTATCAATATCTACTATCACGCTGAACGTGTTCAACGTGAAAAACGATTTGATGTCTAACCGTGTATATCGTGTATGTTTCTCCGGCACTGGTTTGTTCATTCAACCGAAGAGTTACAGGTTTCGAAATTCGTACAAACAACGGATAAATAATACTAAGCCCGCGGCGGAGATTTAATTAATTTTCATGGTTTGCTATAACGTGGACGCAATAACTGAAAACTCGATTCACCGTGCAGAATGTGGAACGTTCAGCGACCAGGCGCATTTATCTATCTGAAATGCAATATTGATTCGCCGGAACAAGCTACGATTGTTTGCTTGACATTGTGCTGTTGGTGCACGCGTTACGGCCGCCTCTAAAAATTATATTGTCATTTTCGTTGTACGCGCCGATTGCCATGGTTTTAATTAAAACTGAGAATTTACGTTTCGAAGAATTACTTTTTTAAAATATACCATTACATAAATAGATAAACATAGTTGGGAGGTGACAAAATTGATGAATAATATGTTTGGTTGAACTTTGGATATTATTTAGAAATTGTTCTTTTGAAAATCATTTCAAAATGTCTCATTATTTATTGTGACCACTGCAAAAGTATAAACCATTTTTGCAGGAGCTTCGGTAACCGCACGCCAACGAGGAAGGGTTGAATTAAGTGGGATTGCGTCGTTAAATCACCCCTTTTTCTACTTTCTCTACGCCACATAGAGACTATAATTCTAAGCTCCATTGGCTCCTCTTTTTTTCTTTCAATATTTCACATCGAAACTTCCCCTCCTTGTTCGACGAATGCATTTTTTTCGCTCAGAGCCAGTTAATGGCCGGGCTGCAGCCACCGAACTAGACGGCATTTCGTAGATTTACGAGGCGACAGCTTTTACAACCGCGCTTCGGGATTCGCAGTTTCACCCGTAATATCCGGACGATTTCATGCAGGAAAATCATGCCTCTATTTCGAAACGACAACCCTTCGATGGATATCGAAGAACAGTATCCATCGAGCCGTCTAAAAGCTTCCATATGTAATTGCTGGTTTCTAATGGTTCCACCTCGGTTATGGTCTTTTATTTAAAAATTTATTCAGTGAATTGTAACTTTTTTTTATGTTTTGTGACATACAATGATTGTTGATTAGAAATTTGAAATTCATTTTTTTTATTCAAATTTAATTTTTGAGTTAGAGTTGAAATGGTCAGTTATCAAGAAAGTTATTAATTATTGACTCCAATTAATTTCAATTGATTTATTAATAGTATTGTATTTTTTGTTGCAGCCAACCATTTTCGGCACTGTGGCCTCGGACCTCAATCCAAAGGATGGCAACAGTCGAAGGGTGAGTTTTGTAAAATCTTCTTAGACTAAATTTTAAGGTTTCGATAGTAATCCCTAAATGGATTGTTGAACAGGGATTTTAAGTAAATTCTATTTTTACACGTTTATCAAATGCTTACAATTTTTTGTTACACGAACAGCAAATGGAAACATTTTAATTTATCAAATTTTCAAAATAATTCATTTGTTAGTTTGTTGTTTTCATATAAAATTCAACAATTAAGCTGTCAATTTAATTTTGAAATTTTTTTTATATAAAAATTAGCAAACACAGTAATTAGAATTGAAATTGATATTAAGTACATTCATTTCATGCAAAATCATAAAATACACAAAGTGCAAAGAAGGTAAAATTTCATAAAAATAGCATGAAAGTTTTTGATCGCTTTAAATCATCGTTACTGCAGAAAAATATTCAGCCAGCTTTCATGGAAATAAGCTCAGCGTGCAAAGATTAAGAAGGAACAGGGAATGCTTGAACAATATCGCGAAAGATACGACGGTAAAGGCTTGCAGCAGAGGATCTTAGTCTTCTTCATGGTTCGGGTCTCACGAGACCCTTGCTCGTGTCTTAATGGGTAAAAATTGCTGCTAAGTCGCTGTTCTGTGCTCCCTTTAAACGCTCGAAGATAGAGCAGCGTTCTGGAGCTCTAATTAAAAGTAACTGCCGTACCAAGCAAGTCATTCAGCCTTGAAACCCTTTCTGCGGGAACCTTAACGTGCAAAGTCGCCAAGACTGTGCCCGCTTTTATACCTTGCATAAATTTTTCGTAATTGCGAAATCATGCAGAGTATACCTAGTTGGTATCGCATAAGAAAGGTGTATCGAAGTGTAATACTTTAATATTCTCATTCTTTTTCTTCTATTTCTGTTTGTTAAAAAGATCAGATCCAATTTTATTTTATTCTCCTTTATTTTATTGAACATTATCAATGGAAATTAATCGTATTGTCCTATAATTTCGAAGTACTTCCCGGTCCAAATTTCATGCTCGATCGAGCCGATCTGGAAGGCGAATATCACATCGTTACGCAGAGTTAATTAATCTACATTAGCAGGCGATAAAATGAGAAATTAATCGTCGATGTTCGGGCTCTGGCTACAGTATGACCGATTAATTTCGCCGTGGCGTTGAGATCGTAAAACAATGCGGCTGCCGTTTGACGAGCAACTTCGCGAGCGCATCATTTTGTCGATCACTTTTTTTTTTCTCTTTCTCTCTCTCGCGAAGCATACGTTGCCGTGATTTATGAAATATCCGTCGGAATGACGCGACGTGACGCGGATTAACGAGACGCGAATAATTACGTTGCCCTGATCGAACCTCGTTTCGTGGGGATATCGTAAAACTGCTGCTTCCGGAAGAGTTCATATACGAGGGGGATGATTTCTATTTCAGTGAAGTTTCATTGTCTCCAATTCTTAACTTTACTTCGAAATGGAATCGAATTAAATTCGATTATTTTGTAAATGGAGCATTGAACTAATTATCAAAAGTTAACGAAGCTCGTTAATAATTTTTATAATTTTAAATAATTGTAAAGCAAAACATTTCTAAATAGTCCTTTTGATAGCTGTAATTGTTCTAGTGTTAAATTTGACACGAATCATTTTTCTAAAATTGGAAGTTTTACGGTGAAACTTATTTATTGAGCCATTATAGTATCGTGCAAGGGTACAGATGAAATCTTTCGCGTCGCGAACCTTCAAGAGTCGAAGTGGTTCATAGAAAATTAACTTCATCAAAACTCTAAAAGGAAATGATCGCCAGTTTCAACGCCACTCGAGCATCTACTGGAAATCTCCAAGGAGCACGTTTCCGAGGCTCTTCTTCTTTTCAACATCTATAAATTGATAAAATAAAATGACTCGATCGACGTCTTTCCTAATACGTAGCCAGGGTAAAGGGATACAGATAACGAGACGGGAAAAGTTTGATATCGAAGAGAGAGAAGCTTAATCTATTATGGAAAAGGATGCAACGTCATATGAATCTCTTGATAGCCATTTACGAATAATGGTGGTTTTATTGAAATACGTGTGTAAAATAAAAATTATTGATTCTGTTTAATGGCAACGTGTGGTACGAATGGAGAAAAAAAAGGTTAACGAGATACATTTCTACTAATTGATATCGCGACAGCAATAACACGAATTTAATTATTAGGATCGCTTTTATGATCCATTAAGAGAAATAATGAATATTAATCTATTTTGCTATGGTTTTATTATTATTTCAAAAATATTAATGTGTAGAATTTGCTTCCTTTAAAGAAAATTCTGAGGAATTAGATATTTATTGAATAGATTTGTGGATACTGTTCGCAGTAGAATAGGTTTAATATTGGTCAGCCATAATCTTTCTTAAGTTTATTGACAGAAACAGGGCTTGGATACAAAATTTCTAAAATTTGACATCGGTGTAATAATTATTACAATAATATTACACACTTTCAAAGTTTAGTTTTTACTAAAAGTTTGAATGTTCATTAAACTCAATGTATTCGTCAATATCGCATACAGTAGATCAAACCTTTTACGTTTTATTAAAAGGAATTTTTTCGAAATTGAAAATAGGTTCAATATCTATTAAAAAAAATATCTATCTAGTGTTATCCACATCCAGAGTTTATATTTTTTTATTAAAACTTTGACTACCAATTAAAATCAATATATTCGTCAGTGGTATACGCAGTAGAATAGGTGTAATATTGGTCAGCCATACATTTTTTGCATTCTACACACGAGAACTTTTTCGAAATTTAAAATAAGTTCAATATCCATTAAAATAGTGTTGTACACACTCAGAGTTCAGTTTTCATTAAAACTTTGAATAACAATTAAAATCAATATATTCCTCAGTGATGTACGCAGTAGAATAGGTGTGATATTGGTCAGCCATAAATCCTCTTGCAGTTTGCTGACAGGAACAAGGTTCAGATATCAAATTTTTGAAATTGAAAGCAAGTTTAATAATTATTGAAACATTATTAGGAAACTTTGAATGCTAATTGAAATCAATAAAGTCATCAGTGCTACATATACGTAGTAGAATAGGAGTAATATTGATCAGTAACTTTCCTTACAATTTCCAAAATTCTCCAAAACTTTTACACATACTGACATCAGATTTGCGAAAATCGTCATCGTATTATTCAATCAATTCAATCTTTATCATGGCCAAAAGCCCCGATCCGTCCTCATTCACAATCCATGAGCGAATCAGCGAGCCAATAGGATGGCCTGAATCCTTAATAGCGACCGCTGCCACTAATAACCGCAAAAGCACGAAATCCTCGTCGAACGAGATTGACCCAGAATCAGGAACAGGTTGGTAAACAGCCGGAATATGGGCAAACAGTATGAATCAGTTTTTGGCCGGCTATCGGTGGAATCGATGCTTTGCATCCTCGTCCTTGTGTCTATTCACGTAAAACCCGTGGAAATGTGGATATGTATATCTGTGTGTGTGTTAGGGAAATTAGAGGAGTGGTTGCAATTCGTTTCAGCGCCGCTACCTGAAGGTAATCCGGCTACCACGTCGTTGCGTGAGCAACGAATGTAATACATGATGACGATGTCGATCGTTCCAAGTATCGTACCATCGATATCCTTGATCGATTCCCTTTCCATCGAACACCTTGTTCCGGTGAGATAACTTGATATGCAAGTGCTCGACAAAGTTCGTTTGACACTGTATACTATGCTCTTATGTTGAACAATTAATAATTTTTTGATTTTAAGTGAAATGAAAATTGAAGGATAGAAAATTTAATCTACCTACCTGCTGTGTAGTAGACTTGTAATCGAATCAGACTTCCCCAGGGAAAATAGCGATATAAAGGAAGTAGGAAATCTCAAAATTCTAATTTTGATAATATTAATATTGAAAGTGACTTTGATTTATTAATAATTATAAAATTGAGTATATAATTGAAAAGTACGAATAACAAATTAAATATTAATTCAAATTTTCAAATTGGTCCGGGAAGATAATCCCTTTTATTGTTATCATTTTTCGGAAGTATAATGAAATGCAATACATTTTTATTTCTCCTATGAAATTTAAAAAAAGCAAAGATGACCCCTTTTTCATTTTCCAAGTACTTACATGCTCTTCTCCAAGATCGTGTTTCGAAATTTACTCCCAGCTTACATTTCTGCCCACTGCCTGTTCCACGTTCAGTCAATCGCACGCAAAACACGTATCGTACTATCCGTACAAGGTGTACAGTATGTAATGTATGATGATGGTAGCGTAGCACGAAACGGGATTGGGATTGTGGTGTACAGCTAACGCGTCAATCAGATTTGATATCATCATTGCCAGCAGCCGCCTAGACGGTGGTCAGCTCGTAGATTACAATGTGTTACGCATATTGTAGCGGCGATGGAGTGCTGAGGAGGATTAACCGAATGAAGGCTGAAGGCGAACGTACGGACAAGCGTACGTTCGTTCCAGGTTTACTTGTTACGAGAATATGCTCGAAACATTCTGACATCTCGGTTTGTCTGAGAAAATCAGTTAGTAATAGTTTTTACAAACAAATTACATTTCAAATATGAATTAACCGGGTTGCATTCTGACAGCGAGATAATCAGATGAATTCTACTTCTTGCAAAGTCAGATTATGTTTTCAATCTTCAAGAAACAAAGTAGCTAACCTAGTTTGAACACCAAACAAGTTTCTATTGTACAAGACAACAGGTCTCTTGCTGTCGTTTTGGAAACGTGCTTTGCTTAATTATTTATTTATAATACAAATTTCTTTCGAATTTCTCATAGTGAAAGGGTTGAAGCTGTGTCAGAAGATGAAATATTTCAAGTATTTCACATTTTTCCACATTGCTTTTTAAAGGCACCATATTTCTTCATTTCCTTGATTACTATTTCAAGCAAGAAACATAAACAAAATTATATTTTCAAAAATCATCCATCTTTTAATCTACCAAGAGTATTGTACCCTCGACGGAGAATCAAGGAGCAAAAGGGATGTAAA